TGAACTTTGTTCGAATAACATTGGAGATGTAATCGAATATTTGTGTACTTGTGTGCTTAGCGTTCAAAGTTATGGTTAATTAAATGTACAGTTTAGACATCGATGGAATTGAGCTGTTTGTTCGATTTGTATTACTATTAGTTCGTAATATATTCCCTTTGTCAGTGGTGCAGTGCGAATGAAAATTAAAACTTCTTGAGGACAAGGGTTATGAATTAAACGGCGACAACCTGTGTTAAAGAACAAACTTTACGAACAATATTCCAATCCTCTGCACGAAGATTAAAACTAGTAATTTGTGTTTAATATAAAAATACAAAAAAAAACCACCTCTTAAATAAGACTTGGTATTGGGTGTTTGTTATAAATTTAAATATAAAATTAAAAATACATCGTGTTTTACATACCCCTGCTAGTTGTCGTCCTTCAACCACACTACTGACATCGAACATGACTAATACTGTCTAAACATGTATCTTTTAATAATCAGTGCAAACTACGCCACAACCCACGGCCAAACCTATATTCGATTATCATCGTTTCTACAAATAGTTTTACTATTCGCCGCGTTATATATTAATCTAACTATGTCTAAGGTATTGAGTATTCCTTACTTAGAAAAATAGACATTTTGAAAAAAAGCACATATTTTATGGAGCCATAAAGTGGTATGTGTTTGAAACTTATGTATCCCGCTTGAATTTAAATCGAACTGCATCCAAAGCCTATCACTCTTCTAACGTGGTCTTGAACCCGAGAATTTGTGCGACTATAAATCATGTAATGGGAGAGATAAAACCCCTTGTTTCATAATTTTCAAAGGTGACGTACGAGATATCAAGGCTGAATTATCGAGGCAAGTAAAAAAAAGTTGAAGGCAGGCTTGCCCGCTGAAACGCCAAGTATTCCAAGTCGTGACTTTGAACATAATTACGTAAGAACAAGAAAGACCGTCTCCCGGTAAGCAACAAATTTATTTCAAGTCCTGCATTAATCATTGATAAAAATTAAACATACTGAAGAATGATACAAAGCATGCATAGGTAGAAGCGGAATAAGTCTGAAAATACCCGACCACTCTGAGAGGCTGCATCCCCTCCATTAGATGTAGTTTGTAATATCGCTAGCAGGTGTAACCAGCAGTTGCCAGGTAAGATACGCCCACATTTTGCAAGAGATGGATAGAGAACAAGCTAAAAAAAAGAGATTTTTCGTACAATCAGGGGCCATAATCCAGGAAGTTATGGTCTGAAATGCGCCAATATCGACATGGGCTGAGATATTTGGGATATAAAGATATATTTTAAGTTTCATCAAAATCGGATAAAAATCGGATATTTGCGTACAAGGAGCGGCCATTTTGTCAGGCAGTTTCGGTCCGATTTTATGGACGGAAAGACGGATGGACAGACGTCCAGATGTCCGGATGGACAGGTGCGAGGACAATATACGTCCACGTGAAAATGTGGGCGTATAAAACACTGTAGGAGGTGTCGTTCGTTCTGATTCGCCTTTTTTCTGGTAGTACGCTCGTATGTCTTGTTGCTTTTGGTTTAAGGTGCAAGGTTTGTAGGTTCGTGGTCACCCGAGTAGCTTGGAGTTGCTGGTACTGCCGATCGTAGAATAACACCGAAAGCCTGCCTTACTTTGCAAGGAATCCAAATACGAGTAGAGTAAGCCAGGTAGGTTTTGATGTCCAGGAGACACGGCGGCTCAGTCAGTAAAACTCTGACTCACTAACCAGGATGTCTGGGGTTCGAGAAACTTCCCCGGGATCTTCTAGCATGCTTTACTCTTTGTCAGTTGTGCAGGGTGGAGGGGCTGGCAAGGGACAGCGTCTAGTCGTTCGGATGGTACGAAAAGCCGAAGTCCCGTAAATGAATCCTTGACAACTGGAATTTAATTCCAAAATTTGCCTCATAGCACACTTGATACAGTAAACAAAGTTGATAATAGTGATTGTTTGTTGATTGAAGTCAACTGTATGGCAGTTTGATTGTTTTTGAACTTGGATGCCCCCACCCCGTTTATAATCACATTTCTCGTGGCTTTTAAGTAATTGACAGTTATATGATGTCCATCATGGAAATCGTGAAATATACAAACTTGAAGTAGGGTACTTATAAACGTGTAGTAACCATCCGACCCACATTTCAACGTGACCAATCTCTTAACCTCAAAAGCTAGCAGAAAATGTCAATTAAACCTCTTTCTACAAGTGTCTATATTAATAATAACCATATTTAAAAAGATAAACGAAATGTTTATACTAACAATAACTTAAATTAAACAGATTTTACCAAATGTTTATATTAATAATGACTTAATTTAAAAAGATATTTCCAAGTATTTATATTAATAATAAACTTATTTTAAAATATATTTCCAAGTATTTATAATAAACTTATTTAAAAATATAATACCAAGTATTTATATTTATACTAAACTTATATAAAAAGATATTACCAAATGTTTGTATTAATATAACTTTTTAAAACAAGATATTACGAAGTATTTATATTTATAATATCAGCAAATTAAAGATCCATGGGCCGAACATCGTATTAATTACTATTTGCTATTCTATGAAATAGTAAGAAAACATTTGCATCATTTGGTTCATCAACTAGTATACGAACTGTTGCAAACTTGGAGAGAGAGAGAGAGAGAGAGAGAGAGAGAGAGAGAGAGAGAGAGGGAGAATTTGGGGTTTAACGTCCACTCGCCACAAACTAGGTCATTTCGGGACTATTTGCAATCGTGGCCACCCCGCTGCCTATGTATCGTCCATCGTTAATTTATATCACGTGTTCCTTTATTTTTTTTGTAGACCTATCCGTACTGAAGTGTGGCTAAGAAGATAAGAAATCTCCATATTATCTCCTACCCGATCATTAATACAGGGATCATAAATATATTATACTCATTGAACCGTTGAATTTTTGATCATTTCGGAATGAATGTATGAAATGGGGTTTAACATCCTATTTTTCTACACTAACCGGGATAAGGTCAGTACGGGATTAACGCATGGTACAATTTCAATAGTTTGCTTGTGCGAAGGGGTCTTTAGCAATGGGGAAAACGGAGGACCCGTAGTAAACCAACGAGGTTGGGCAGTCGACCCTACTCCTTGTCACGTACAAGCTTGGGGATCGAACCCACACAACTTGACTCCATGACAGATCTATTATCTAAGGCGCGGGCGTTAGAATACTCGACCACCTAGTTACTTTAGTAACGTAAATTGTATCGGCTCTGCCTTTTACTACGTTACTGTCAGCTTCTAATGACAACTAGTATGAAAATAAGGCTTTTCCCCATCTCGGTTCTAAGGCAATTTTGGAATCCTTACCGTCTATTTTTCACCGTGATTCTTCTTTAGTCGTTAAAAGGAACCATTTCTTGCCACATCCGACACAAATTTATGAAAATCCAACTCTTACTTTCATGTAGAATTGTGCGATACAAAAACATAAACAACTTTCATTTGAATTGGGCCGCCATTTTCAAACTAACGCTCAGCCAATAATCCAAACTTAGGAATGGAATTCTACCGTAAACCAAAATTCGTGCTGTACATATTCACTAAAGTTTTTTTTATTCAACATACATGAATAATATTATTACATAAAATCTATAAAATAGAACAACATATTATATTGACCTTTATAAAATATTTTAAATATTCTATGTGGTATTCTCATGGCACACCATTTCACTACAGTACGAATGATAGAGCATATAACTACAATGTGAATGGTATACAATTCGACCAGGGGCGGATTGGGGCCGGGAACCGGCCCGGGCTCCCGTGTCGGAGCGGCTCCTTTTACTGACCGCGGAGCCCGGAGGGCTCATCCCCGGGAAAATTTTGAAAAATGAACCCCAAATATGCGATTTGGTGGCATATCTGATTATAATCTCTGACAAATAATATTATATCTCATAAATCGATTAATTTAGGCCAAAACCCCGACCTGCAAGAAATTTACAACCATCAACCTGTGAAATTATCATATCACATATTATGCAGGATTCCGAATTCCGGCCCACACCCAGCTCACCCGACCCAGAAAGTCTATTATACCAGCCCATTTAAGACTCCAGTGGCCACCGGCCACACACAACATGATCATCATCGCTCCATGGCCGGTCCAATACCCCCCCCCCCCATATAATGTTCAGCAGAAAAAGGTTGTTTTTCTTAGACGAATTGGACAACATTATTTTTTTCATTTTTTGTCCGACCGGCCCATCAGGCGATCGCCCGATCCCAATCCGCCCCTGAATTTGACTACAGTATGAATATAGTATGAATGACATAGCATTTAACTACAATGTGAATGGTATATAATTTAACTACGGTATGAATACAGTATGGCACACTATTTGACTACAGTATGAATGACATGATTGTATGAACGGGGTTTAGCTTATCGAATCTGTCTCATTCCAGCGTTTACCAGTTTTAAACTATGTCCGTAGATCATGTGTGCTTTATGGTGCTGACTGTCAACACGCCTTTGTCATTTTGGTATTCGGCCATTTCTATTCTTTTATGCGTAACTCTTCCGTTAGTTTTTTTTCCAATTGAACGCCATTATCCGTATATAATCAGGATAGTTGGGCTCCAAAAGTTTTTTTTTTCGTGGGGATTCGAAACATTATATCTCATATCAAACTGACGGGTGTACCTCGCTTGTCGTTAAACAAGAATCATTACGAAGGACGGTCATTGCCCCTCTAACCAGGCTGATATACGCGCATATACATCGTGCAGTGTGCTGGGCGTCATTTTCCCGAAAACAGCCTCCATGTCATCTCGCAAGGAGAAACCAAGAGCAGAACGTCAAACCTTGGAACTTTCTGGCCCAATGTCGTACCCGAACTTCCTGATTAGTGAGCAGGCGCCACAACCACTGAGCCACCGTGGTTACATCGAAGTACAACAAGAATACACAGATACGTAATATTTTATTGAGAAAATTTAAGATGATCAAAATATAGAAATTCAGAAAAGGGGCGAATATAGATGGTTAAAATTGGTTATTTAACAGATTATGAAAATGGGAATTTAAGAGTGTATATATAAGGGAAGGGTGGAATAATATAAACGTGTTAATTGTATTACTGAGAATAAAACCATATTTCAATAGCTAGGTAGATGGTACTTTATTGTGTATTGGTGGTTAAATAGAGTCAAAAAAATAATAAAATAATCATTTATAATTAATTTCATTTTCTCCCAGAAGATAAGAGTACCGCTTTATTAACTCGGTGACGTATTGTTTTGAATTTTTTTCCCAAAATCTTTGGGAGTATATTCTGAATTCTGGAAAAGAGAAAGTTAAATTAATCAATGATAATTTCAACCATAGTATAAACATTTGCCTGCATAAGCGCAATGCGTTCTATCGTTCTTAAGGTTCCGAGAAAATAAAAAAACGTAACTTCCACATGTACATGGAATATATTTTGTTCAATGTACGAAGTAAAGTAAGATTTTCTTCTTGCGACCCCGGATGTTATTTTGACACTCGAGTCTTGAAAACGAAAATACGCCTAGTAATTTCAAGTGTTACACGTCAACCCGAATGATATTTTAACACCCGAGTCTCGAAAAAGAAAATGCCCTTTATAATATAGTATAAAGTCTAATTATATTTTTACAATCGAGTCTAGAAGTAATAAATACGACTGGCAATGTAATTTCAAAATCGAACCTCGTTATTACTGTTAATACAACACGACCCCAATCCGCCATGAATTAGCAACTTATTTATATAATAGTATAATGTGTCGTTTGTTGAAGAGATCAATGTATTTCTGGTAAATGTAAATATCTTCCATTTAACAGATTAGTTGCTGGATTATCTTCCATTTAACAGATTAGTTGCTGGATTGGCACACAATATAGTTATTGTCGCAACATCGCTATTTTTAATTAATAAATCCACTCATGGAATTTTTTAATGTGTCTCTCATCAAATGTCGTTTACTAAATAAATAGAGAATAAAACCTACCTTCAATCAATGACTCTATGCTGTCATACATGTGAAGGAGATGTGCATACACATCTTCTGTATATCATCCCAGACAGTATTCGCTGGACATGGGCGTTTATCATACATCATCCCGTTGGAACAGGTACAATACATATGACAGCCATAACACGACTGATAATCACCATTCTCCATTTGTGTACAATCACTAATACATTCTTCATTTGGCTGTGGTTCATCGGGGTCTTCAACAGTTGAAGGTGAGGTCATTCTACAATAAAACACGGATATAAGAGCGATCTCTACCTTGCCCCACATAACCACCTCCTTCAGTCATGTACGGGGATCTGTGTAGTTTGTCGTGGTGTCATATAAACGGGCAGAAAATGGGATAAGTTAATAATAGCAAGTTACTCATTGTGAAAGCGGATGTTAAATAAAGTTATCTTTTCTCACACCCTGTGGGGGATACTCGATTACTAGTCCAGAACGTCCCGTTCAATCTAGTATCCCTAGGGACCTGATGAGATATTTGGATGTTTTTAAGAGAGGCCAATTCGAAATCTGTCTACAAACTATACATTCTTGAACACCAAACCGTGTAATGGTAAATGCGATTAATGGATAGATTGTGGAAACTTGTTATAGTCAACTGTTACCGACAACTGTTTACATTTCAAAAAAGATATGCGATAGTCCAGTGAGCAATGTACTGGCTCGCTAACTTGGAGATCATGGATACGTTCCAGGTTTTGGTCGAGAACGTACCACGTTTTTTTTCAGCAGACAAAGGCTCTTTAAAGTACACGCCAATGTGTACAACGGACTTTGATTGCTTTCCAATTCTAGAGACTAGTCGCTATCCCGTGCCAGGAGCTCCGTCCTGTACCATTGCCCTACGTTTCCCAGTGGAACTTTCTTTGCCTACACTGGGATCGAACTTGGGATATCCAAGTTAGCGAGCTAACGCCTTTTTAATTAAGCCATCAAGGCACATAATATACTGTATGCTTTAAAGATAGTTTTTCCAAACTGTTTTGACTTACCCACATGTAGCGTCAGCAGGAAAAGAGCATGTTTTAGATACAATATCGAAGTACAGTCCCTGCTGACATGGCACAACCATAACTTCACCATTAAAACACATGACCTTCTTTGTACAGTCTCCACAATAGGGAAACACACCGGAACCAACATTACTGCAATCTATGGTACATTCGGCTAGAGCTGCAATAGAATAAGATAGAACACTATTGTCTATTGTTTTTTACAAGAACAATTACCGGAGGAGGAAATTAAATGAAATGGGATTTACCGTTCGATTTTTCTGTATCAAGCGGATAGTCGCCATGCCGTGTGTATAAGAGAAATTGTGGCCTGACAGTTGCGTTTCCTCGGTACTCGAATTCCGACATTTAAAGGATATTGTATGTGCACACCATCCAGTTCATGGGTGGATCCCGACAACCGTTGGGAACAAGTGTTACTACTGATCAGGTGTAGAATATAAAGATATAAACATAATAAGTTGTTTTAGGTATTCTGGGATGAGTAAGCATATTCTGCCTTGTTCTTACAGCTAACTGGATTGGGCGTGGATATCAGAAGCTGCCGTGCACCGGAAGTGATTAAATACAACACATGTAATTAGAACAACAAATAATAATACGTAATTTGTAAGGTTATTAATGATGTACTATAAATAGGTGGAGTTATTGACGACGTACCTGGTGACGTTACTGGCGACGTAACTGGAGATGTTTCTTCTGGTGTTTGTATCCTATTATGAAAACACAATAAGAAATAATGCTTCATGGTATCTAATGATGTTATGTTATTTGTATTATAGTCCTTCCGTAAGATATCGTTCTGTTTGGTTTTTTTTAAACAATCGCAATGGGCGCAAATCTTCCGGAAGGTTACAGGGTCAGTATGTTATGGATAAATCCTATGGGACTTTATAAAACCAAGGCCAACCGCACACGTTGGAATGGGAAGAGCACTGAGCACATAACTCTAAGCTACACATTTTTGTCCCCAAAGAACATAAGTATTTTGTTTCCGACACATTAAACTTTTCCTCTCCGGTATAATGCTTGGATCGACTGGATAACGTTGTCTAACAGACGTCAAGCTAGAATATCAGATATGATCTATACAAGTGAGAAGAGGAGTGACGTGGGCGCGAGTTTGACGTAATAAAATGAGCAAGAGATGTAACTTACGCACAAGTAGCATTTGTTGGAACACTACATGCCGTTGTGTTCGTGTCAAAAACAAGATTCTCAGCACATTCTTGAACATCAACATTTCCTATGTTACAAGTAACAAATTTAGTACAACTGTCACAATATGGATAAATACCATCGACCATAACATCAGTACAATTAGTAGTACATACACTTTCCACTGTAAAATAATTTAACGCAATCTGGTTAAAATTATAGCATTATTTCGTTTCGCTTTAAAAAGTAAAATATAAAATATGGGAAAAAAGCTAATTCTACAAATCTGAATAGAACCAGAATGATCCAAAATTACAGACCGCAATTCCATGTTGTAGATTTTATGTGGTTTGGTTTTAAGTAGTCGTAGCAAATACAGATAGAGGGAGAGAGAGAAAGAGAAAGGGAGAGAGGGAGAGAGAGAGATTTCAATAACATATCTTATGATCTAGAACCCTACAGCACACGTGTTAAACCATTCCGCCACCGAACCCGTTAACCAAATTTGAACAATCCGCCTCAGTTTGAATGAGTGGTAACCTAAGCAGAAAGTTCCCATCAACAAAAGAAGTCTTAGGCATTCATCTAATGAATAACCACTCAAAGTTCAAAATGTTAACTCAGTCAGAAACAGGGTTATTGTGTCCGGAGCTCTACACGACTTGTAGTTATAAACAAAATGCAATATAACTATCTTAAGTCCGTCCGGTGGAATTATTTTTAAATATCTAACTTACCTGTCACGTAACCAGTTCTGTAAATAAAAAGTGAGTGTAAATTTAATTAAAAAAGGAAATGCGTACGTTTATGGTTTTTTTTCTCTAAAAACGCTAAATCAATAATATAAAATAGTTGCGTTTGTTCTAAAAATTCTAAGATAATAAAACAATCAGATTAAAATACAGATGTATATTTCGTTTGGTTTTGTATACTTTCGATGACCTCCACTACATGAAGATCTGACTAGTTGTTGTAGAGGGTCGTGTCAGGGATCATATGAGCGAGAGGCTTTTGGCGCTATGGCGTCGGACTTTGATTAACCATTCAGCGTTGATGTTTCTGCTGGGATACCAACAGTTCCGTGCACAGCACACCAAGAACTCGCCACAATAGACCGTTTCATTGGCTAATCCCTCACATTAACCAGAACGCGGGTTTTTTTTAAACAACTCTTCCTGATCCTAGTATAGTAAACACAAGTAAAGCGAAATTTTGAACTATAAAAAACGAAACGAAATAGGATCTGTGTTTTAATCAGATTGGATAATAAAGTAAAATAGCTGTGATTTTTTCTATAATTTCTAAAATAATAATGAAAGTTATAATGTTTCTATAAGTTCTAACATAATAATTCAAAATAGTTATAATGTTTCTATAAACTTTAAAATAATAATACAAAATATTGTTCTTTAACTATAAATTCTAAAATAATAATTCAAAATGGTTATAATGTTTATTTAAACTCTAATATAATAGTTCTTTTTTTATAAATTCTAAAATAATAATGTAAAATAGCTGCGATATTTTTCTCTAATTTATAAAATAATAATACAAAATAGTTCTAATGTTTTTATGGATTCTAAAAAAATACTTTAAAATAATTGAGATTTTTCTGTAAATTCTAAAAAAATGATATAAAATAGCTGCAATTTTCCTATAAATTATAAACAGATTTGCTAATTAAAAAGGAGTACAATTCGCCGTGAATAAGCATACAGATAAGATTCGACCCTGTAACATGTTGAATAATATATATCATGATTCTAGTCAAGACAATGTAAGTCTATTTCCTATAAAAAAATATGCAGATATGCAGATTGGACAAATAAATATTAAGGCAGGGAGTTGCACAGCTTCCGTCATTGTCTATCAGTTCTCGCTTATCTACATAAAATGGCGATAGAATAGGATAGAATAACATAAATACGTTAATTGGGAGGTTGTGACTTATAAACAGCATTTCAAATTATTATGTCCAAGACGTAACCTTTAATGCAGACAGATTTTGTGGCTACTGTGATTAGAACGCAGAATTAGATATAATTTATTGAAAGATATTAAAGTAACTAAGTCTCTAACTCAATATCATCAAAAATCTTCGACATTGAAAACACGAATTATTTGTCAGTTCAAATCAACATTGGTCTTGTGATCTTACAGGGAAAAGATGGGCTTCTGATATCCAATAATGCGTTTCAGAGCCTTTTGGAACAAGGGACTCAAAGAACCAGACGCTAAATACTGCTATTAATTGAGATTTCTGGCGTATTTCGCCGAACATAACTGATTAGAAATTACAGTAAAAACAGAATCGGTTGAATGTAAATCAGTTTATATACATTCACATTACATTATTATATGCTTTGTGGCCCATTTGTGTCAATTTCTAGGTCCCAAATATTAGCGATTTAGCTCCTTTAAGTTTCGATAATTAAGTGCCCAGAAGTGGTCCGTATTTTCTTACCCACAGACTGCGTTGCTAGCAAAATTACAGGCTCCAGAATTCATATCGTACAACAAATTTGTTTCACATTGTTTGGTGACGATCATTGTGCCATTACAGAAATGATATTTACTGCAATCATCGCAATCGGGGAAAGTACCTGCTCCTTGTCCCAGTTTTCCCATATTAGTACAGTCGACTGTACAAGGCATACCGTTCACTGAAATATATGAATGAATCGAAGAATCAATGAATAGCGCTTGACATCTTCCACATATAAGGTAATGAATATGGTCGGTTTTACTTATAGTTTGATGAAGATGAGAGGGTGTGGGTTGGTCGCAAAGCACAGCTTAGGCATGGACTTGAGGAGCTCAGGCCCAGGGCCACGCGGTTTATGGCAAAAAGAGAAAAAAAAATCAAATTCCAGATGAAACAAAGACGCAAATTGTTCTGAACATTGTAACAACTCAATCCGGTGATTTCACTTGTTATAACAGTTCCCCGCCATTATATGTCATTTTCGCGCTTTGTATGCCATTTGGAACTGAATAGATTTTGTATATGAGCAGATAGTATGTAATTATTCTTGTATTACAGACCGTTTAATTGTGTGTTACGCATGCGTGCCATTCAAAAGGATATGAAATAATCTTTTCGTCGCGGTAGGGGCCCCGCGATTCTAGTTAGGCCCAAGACCCCGCTTCTGTTAAGCTGGGCTTTGGTTGGTCGGATGAACCAGAGGACACGATCCCAACGTACAATTGAGGGGACGAACTCTCGATTTGCATAGACAGCAGATCCGCTAGTCATCCGAATTCACCACTATACAAAGAAGCTGGAACAGATGGTGTGAAGTGTGGGCGTGGCTGGGGAGGAGTAAACCTACCTGTAACAGACAGTAGCAAAATAAGAAAACTTATTAACAACATGGCGCTTGTTGACGAAATATCTTCCTATATAGCTGAATAAATAATAAGACAAAAATTAATTCATTAATATAATGATAAAAGAAAATATGAATTAATCAGAATATATAAAGGGGAATTTGGTCTATACGGAAGCGTATAGGGGTCAAGCAAAATTTTATAGAACGTCTCGAGATCCTGCGATCCTGTGATACTTTCTCGAAATCCCGTGATCACCTGTTAATTTTCTCGAGATCTCAATTTAATCTTCTCGAAATCCCCTTATAATTTTCCTGAGATATTGACATCCTGTGTAAATTTTCTCGAGAATTCGAGTTAATGTTCTCGAGATATTGACATCTTATGTAAATTTTCTCGAGATCCCGGGTTAATATAAAACTTTACATGATAGTATCTCCACGTTGTGAAGCCACCATTCGCCTAATACTTCGCACCAAATTTGATAAAAAAAAGTACTCTAACATTTTTTACAAAGGAAAACTGCTAACTAATGAAAGAATAAACGGACAATCGATAGGGTACCCATGATTTACACTAAATTTGAAATATGATTAAAATCGATAGGGTTCATCTTCTTATGGCCCCAATACTTCACACCAAATATGAAATTCAAAACCCTGCCACGTTAGCTTTAATGTGTGAAGCTTTGAATTACAGACATGCTAGTTAAATTATTCCAATTTAATGTGTGTGCGACGTTTAATTGAAAATGTCATTTTTTGCATGGTTTTCAGACCATATATTGTTTTAGAATAAAGCTAGATATAGAGTTCAATGTCTTGTGGCACAAATGCTTCGGAGCAGATTTTAAATAAAAAATCTTGAAAAAATCTGGGCTCTAACGCGTTCACAAGGTTTACCGGAAAATAGGAATTTGAACGATAGCCACGCAAAGTGTGGAGATACGCCTACGCAGCATCTATGCCTCAACAGCAAATTATTGGAAAGGAAACTTGGTTAATTAATAAATTGAATAAGGATCTAGCATTCATCAAGAAATTTAATCTTTATCGTGTTCACGTGCTTGTTATATCTCTGGGACATAAAACCTTATATTGCTGAAAATTAACAGGGGTCAGTCATCTTTGTCGCGGAACACTGAATATCGTAAATCCGTTAAAAACGAGGTTTTCAAAGAATGGAGAGTATAACTCCGGAACGGAAGATCGCTAACCATTGAATATGAATGACCCCAAAGCTTTACACAAAATTGTAAAAGCGAAGCCTCTATGACGTGAACAAGACTTCCAGGGAGGTGAAGAGTGTGTGTGTGTGTGTGGGGGGGGGGGGGTATATTACGGAACAGAAGGTCAAAGAATGCTGTATATCGATAGGGTTCTTCCTCTCATCGTCACATTTGAAAAAAATACGAACAAAGAGGGTAACTCTCGAACAGAAGTTTGCGAAGTACTGAAAATCGAAAGGTTCTAGTGCTTCACACCACATTTGAAAAACAAAATCAGTTAAAAACTTTAGCCTCTAATGGGTTAACAATTTTTTCGGAAAAGGTGGACAACTTCAGAACGACAAGGTGCGCGAGAAGCGACAGGGACCGCACTCTCATGGCACCAATACTTTACACTAAATTTGAAACAAATCCGTTAAAATCTGTATGCTCTATCGTGCTATTAAGGTTTTGGGGAAAGTGTTGTGTGTGTGTGGGGGGGGGGGGGGGGTAAAATACGAAACGACTGGTTGTGGGGCGCTGAGAATACGTTAAATCTACGCGCACGCATAAAAACACCCGAGATCTCGAGAAAATTTACATAGGATGGCAAGATCCCGAGAAAGTTAACTCGAATTCCCGAGAAAGTTAACTCGAATTCTCGAGATCGTTAACACGGGATGGGAGATTCTCGAGAAAATTATTAGGGGATTTCGAGAACATTAAGTTGAGATCTCGAGAAAGTATCACAGGATCGCAGGATCTCGAGGTCTTCTACAAAATTTTGCGTGACCTCTATACGCTTCCGTACCCTATACGCTTCCGCAATTAAATATAAAATCTAAAATAATTATTGTTAATTGAATATAAAATTCAAAATTGTTAATGAAGTAGAAATATTTATGCCAAATATATAATTTAAAATTGTTAATTAAATATGTTTAAATTCGAGTAAATATTTTCAAAATTCTAAATCAGTTAGCGACAGGTATAAATAGATCATTTTACTAAAACAAAATAATTATTTTAAAAGATACACAAAACGAATCAAAAGCAACTTCAAGTGTCACTATGTAAAAATTACAAAGTCCAAACACATTCATAAAAATATTTAGGTAAAATATCAAAATGATAATATAGCTAAAATACTGTTCAAAAATGCATTTAACGACCTGAATTAGCGGCAGGCTGATACTTTAAAAGAAAAATAAAAAAAGCATATTTTTAGTGTTAATAGGTAATAATAATTCCTTCAAAGTCCATTTTCTAAATACAATTTTGACACCATTCATCCCAGATTCACCAGAACCCAAACTAACGATTTGAAATATTCCCATTTAAATCTACTAACCTGTGTCTTGTTGGGAGTCACCGGTCTATTATTCAAATCATTGCTAAATCTCTAGCTTAAATAGTCAATTCTCATTATCCCTGCCTTCTGGCAATTTGTACATTATATAAAAACTATAACAGAGCTTAAAGTGAGAAACGGACTGGCCGATTCTGAATTTTATATATAAAAAAACAAAACAGCACTTTGACTTTTACGCGATATTTTATTCATTAAAATAGTTTTAATCGTGCACTTGCAAAGACGACAGGCTGGTATATGGCACAACAATTTGCGAGCCAAATCATTCATTACAGGGTTCAGTCTAGCTGGGATGCTTTGAGTGTACAATACATGGAATTAAATGGCACTGTGTCCCGGGAGAAGAACATCTTAAAGACATGCCTTCACTTTAGAGAGCAACGATTGATTATTTAAAAACAAGTGGCAAATACGAATTTGAGTTTAGACAATCAGTTTGGAAGGACTTCTAGAAGAAGACCAAAAGAACTTTAGGGCATAAATAACACCATGTGTTTTCGGGAGGGGCCCTGAAAGGATAATTATCGTTTTTAAATTCTCATAGATTCCAAAACACCTGTCAGTAGGCCAAAAGTATGGATATTAAACAAGTTCTGTTGGCTAAATAGTTGTTGTGAAACTTTAATCTCCCTCTTTAACTTGTAAAATAACTATTTTGTTTTAATCTGTTTCCAGAAAACATTAAACGAGAATATAATATTTCACCTCGACTTCGTTTTAATCTTTGAATAAATCATAAATTGACTACTCCTTTGTTAACCTACGGCAAATCAACGTCATTTGTTTTTCTCCCTTTAAAAATACATCCTTTTCATGTTATTTTATATAACTATATATAGATGTATTCCTAAACATAATATGGGCTTAATAAAATATATCTGTAAGCTTTACAAATACATTCTTACATTCACAGTTACTGTTTTTATAAAAATATAATTGCAAGCATTACAATATTGGGAAGATTACGACATACTCCTTTATATTTTTTACTTTCCTAAACACTGGCTTTATAAAAGAGGGTGTTGCATTTTACAATTATTTGGAATATTATGACATATTGCTTATAATTACAACGCTAAACCATTATTGGCCTTTATACATTTCAATTTTGTACTTTATAATAATTTGGAATCTTACGACCTATTCCTGTAAAGTCTTAATTTCCTAAACAATTATTGTATTTATAAATATAATCATATATTTTTAATCTTTAAGGAAATTACGTCATATTCATATATATATATATATATATATATATACATTCCCAAATTCCTAAGCAAGTTTTGAATGTCGTTTATATCGTTAAATTAACTAAATCCGACATAACTTTATTACTTGATTAGTCAGAAATGTTATTTTAATTAACTTGGATATTTTTTTTGTTTACTTGATAAGATAAAGAATTCAAGTCTAAACGTTCCTCAGTAATAAATGGTAATGGTACTCACGAATTGAGTGTTCTGTGTATAGTCTGAAAATGTCTTTTTCAAGCAAAACGTTAAAACTGGTAGACAATTAGAATTTACCCCCCCCCCCCGCCCCGCCCCCCCTCTCCAACAAAAATATATGTATTTATAGTCCAAATCTGCTTTATTTTCCAGAACCTTTATTCAGTAATGCTAGATTCCCACTGTCATGCGATGCGTTACGGCACGATTTTCCCTATTGAGTCCACGATCTGCTACGTGCAGATACGTTTCGATACAGTGTGTGCGCGCAAGCGAATTATTAAAATAAAATTGAACCATATGATAGTCCTGAAATGACCTAGTTTGTGTCGAGTGGACGTTAAACCCCATTTCTATTTCTCACGTTTCGGTAAGATCAACACTATTGCTAGGACTGACCTCAAAATAAAAGACCTGATAATATCACAACGATTTAAACCACGATTGAAACCACGATTTCAATCGTAGCACGAATCGTGGTAGTGGGATTATAGCATTAATGATCATAAACACCACGATAAATGCGATATAATGCAAGTATCAATGTAGGTTTTTTAAATTTTTATCAGTTCTATTGAGCTATTCAATCTTACTCCACAAACACAACTCACCAAATTGTTCACGTATATCAAAAATGTCAAAAATATTTTATTCTGTGTATTAAGCACATAAAAGGTAAACTTTAATTAGACATAACTTAAACATGCATTATGTAAGATTTAGATAAGGCGTTGACAGTTAAAACATAGATAATGAAAAATGAATATATTGAAAATTACTTCTTTCTGGGCGAAGTTATGACTGTCAAGAATATCTTGATTATCCAGTTTTATATCAAGATCTTGCTTCAATCCACTGAAAATCGCGAGCATCGATCAACTAGAGAGATGGTAATGGTCATGTAAATAAATGTCTAATTAATAATTTATATAGCATTTGGGGCCAAACGAAAGGCCTGTAATTGGCAGATTTAGTTCTTTTAATGCATCTTTAAGTACAATTTTGTCATTTTTTTTTATAAGAGCACTTTACATTGTGTTTGGTCTTACAGGCTTAAAGAATCTCCTCCGAGTCGTTATTGGTTAGGGGTCGTGTTATTTTGGGCGTGTCTGTTAGGGGCAACCCACCGCACAAACTGTCTGGCAGTGGTCATTCATAATTCCTGTGGTGGTACCGAACAACTCCAAAGCTGTTTTAGGTGGTACAGATTTGAGCTAATCTAGCCTAGCTTAGGTCTGGAAATTAGATAACTCTTGTAGGGATACTCCATCACTACAAATGTCTGGCAATTACATAGCTCTGTCAGGGGTACCCCACCACTAGAAATGTCTGTCAGAGTGTTTTTGTAATACCTGAAGGTGTACGGTACATTGTTGTGCGATTTTCATGTGGTACACTTTTGAGCTAATCTAGACTAGTCGGGGGCATGACATTTTTGGCGTGGAATACCACACCCACCACCAGAAACCAGGCAGACTTACATTCTGATGATACCAGATATACATACATTGATACCATATAGGAGAAAATTGGTACACTTTTCAGCTAGGTTAACCCCCTGGGCTCCTGCTCTATACAGTGACCTAAATTACACTTCAAAGACAGCTGATAATTTGGTAGTTATCCTCATTTCATTAACACATTTCCTGCAACCTGTTTTACTCCTCTCCTATTTGGTATGTTGCTAGGGTTGCATTAAAGATACATTATGGGAGATTAGATAAAGAGCTGACAGTTCTCGCTATAATAGTTAAAAAATAGATAATGTAAAGGTAATTTGATGAAAATTTCAGTCAAATTGGTCCACTATGAACCGAGATATCAGCTTTGTAATTTCCGCCTAGCCTCGTTCATCATTACTAAAGTTAGTACGTTAAAAAGTATAGTCTCGAATATCCATTGTTTTGATTTAATTACCAATGAGCGTTTGCAGCATATAGGATTCTAATCCAGTCGATATCGAAGGCTAGCCTTGACATCGAGAGTTGATTATGGTCTGGATAAGTTAATTAATGTCTAATTAATAATTTAGATAAGATTTCAGGCCTAAAGAAAGACCTGCGATAGGCAGATTTAGCTCTTGCATAATGCTTGTTTAATATAAATTTGTTCAAATGAAGTTGATCAGCCCATAGGGGAAGTGGCACTTTTCAGACATTTTCGGCATCTTCTCTCAAATGTAGGCATATTGCTGGCGTGATACTTACACGTTCGTCGCTTCGATTAAGGGTGTGACGGATCGGCCTTAAAAGGGCAAATTTAAATCTTTCATCCATTTTGTAAACTGCAAGATTTGGATAACCAAGCCACGTGTAGTGATTTGTGATAAGGTCGGAAATAATGATTCTCGTTGTTGTCGTTCTTCTTCTCCTTCTTCGGGTCGATGCCAAGTGATAAGATGGGGATAAAATAGCGGCGATGACGTCATGCTCGGTTCCTGGTCCAAAATACAGTGCTTGTTTTTGTTGCGATAGGATTGTTACCAGACATATTTAATTTTATATGTATTATCTAGATGAATAGCAATACTTAGTGACAAAACTGTTCAGTTCTGTGTTTAAACAGATAAGGTTAATTATGCCGTGTTGACCGAGGCAACATTACCTCCCTTGGTTTAGAGACACCCGTGGCGCTTTCAAAAGTAAACGTTTTACTTTCAACAAGAAACTGATATATTTGCCAATTTCTCAACTGATACAAGTGAATTATATGATTAATAGGATTATTCTCTAACGAGGTAGAACTGTGTATAAAAGTCATTTATTTTCTGGGATTTTTTCAACATATTTTAAACATACTTTTAAAAATACAATTGACGCTTTAAATAAAGGACAATGTAAATAATAATAATATGATTAAGTGAGATGTTCATATTGACATTTAATTTCGTCAAATAAACATTTGATATTGTATGTTAATATACGTCGTAAAATGAAATCGGTGGATAGTTATATTTTGTGTAATATTCTATGTTAAATCAGTTCATTGAATAGTATTGTCTAATGATATTCTATGTTAAATGAGTTCATTTGATGATAATATTTTGTGTAATATTCACAACTCAATCGATTTGATGGTGATATTATATGTAATATTTTATTTAATATGGTATGATAAATTAATTTATTGGGTAATTATATTTAGTGTAATATTCTATGTAATATACATAAATTAAGACGCTGTTCTACACCACTGACAAGGGGAAATCACACCGAAAAATTAGAAGGAACTTTCTGGGCCAACCACCACTGGCGTGTTGTTTTGGGCTAGGAGTTTTAATGTCTATCAATGGTATAGAAATAGACATGAATAAATTACTGGCTTTATCTCTAGCCTCCATCTAACCACCTCTAGCTAATAAACGTTATATCTAGTTTCATTTGGTAATCTTTATTATACGTACACATTCCATTCATTGTATTTGTATCATGCAACCCCAGGTGATTTACGTGTAGTGTTGTGTGGCTGTCGTGACTATAGCGCCCTCACCTGGTGGGCATATTTCATCTCCAACAGACCTACACATTGCGTTAATACAAACAAGAAAACAATCCAATAATTGTCTACAAGGTGTGTAGGAAATTAGATTGCACTTATCAACGCTTTATTAATATCTGTAAATCTTAACAACCTTTTTTTCTCCAATATTACCAAACATCGCCCATTACATTCGAAATCCGAATTTACTAAAGACTAAAAACTAAAAAAACGGGATTTTAACATCCTGGAAAATTCTATCGAAAATGTAGTGTCCTAATCGCTCAATTAGTGGATTCCTCGATATACTGATGGAGTAGAAAGCGAGTCGGTGGGTATTGGTAACAGGACTCAAGTGTAGGTGGGAGTGACAAGTTAGTAGTACGTACCCCACTGCTGACGAAAATTGCCCCACTGCTTTGTAAAAAAACAAGGGTTTAGTGGGACTATACCGATAATGAAAATCACGTGCTTTTGGTCAGGGCACTAGACTTTTCTACTTGTGAGGCCCAATTCCCCACCCTCACGACTTTTGAAGGCGTGTTTTAAACACAATTGATCAAAACCGATGACACACAACTAGTTGACTGACATTTTAAGTCCTAAATCGGCGGTTTTTAATCGAAAACACTTAAATATGTTTCGAGAATGATGAGAAATATATATTCTGATTTCATTTAATAAAATAAAATGGGTTTCGTTAGTCTTTTTGTGTATATCCGATGTGAACCGGGGAAGTAGCGCATTAGAAAACAGTAATAATTGTTGGATATGGCGGCCATTTAGGGCAGAGATCTGTTGTCTAAGTAGAGTAGGTAGTTCTCCATGTGCTGAATAATGACACTGTGGACAATATTATACACCTTGGCCATTTCAAATAATCCCCTATAACTTTCATGGTATTTAGTCTGGGATGCTAATTTTGGTGTCTAACCGTATGTTTTTGGAGCCAAGGAATACAATGAAATCATTCATTATGTTGTAGGGTGATTAGATGATAGTTAACTCCAAAATGCAAGACAATATGGCACTTTAACTCGAAAGCGCCCAGACTACTAGGGTATGCCGGAGGGACGGGTGTATGTTTAAGCAAAGGCTAGTGGGCATTAGAAAGGGGAGATCAGCAGGGGTGCAACATGATTATACATCCTTCTATGCTCGAGTCAATTTAGAGAAAAGAAGATAAAATCGTTGTTTAAATTGCTTGTTTAATGACCATTTCCAAATATATAACAACGCATAATACAATCAATCAAAAACCGGGTTTATAAAGGTGAGGTCATACACAAGGAACGGGTTATAGATAACACATAATTACACTAGACTGAACTAAAACGTGAAAATATAGATTGTAAAACATAAAGTTAATGCGATCCTTGTACTAGGAGAGGAAAATACACAGACATATCTCAACTACATAATATTAATTTCTTTTTTTCTTTTTTATCTCTTATATTTTAATATAAATACAGAATGTTTGTGGCACCAACATATTTATAAGAATTATTTCGCAATTTTGCATTTCTTAATCTATCTACATGTTGATGACGTTTGTTGGCATACCTTGGCCAAATCATCCCATACAAGGCTGCCCGCACATGGTCTCTTATCAATTAAAGTTCCATTGGAACACGTAGCATACGTGTTACATGAAAAACAAGATTGGAAATCCCCATTATTCTTTCCGAAACAATTTATAATACATGGCGAGGGTGAGGTGGGGCTGGTGCCGGATGTCGGGGAGGTCACTGAGGTAGGCGAAGTAGCTGACGTTGGCGATGTGACCGATGTTGGTGATGTCATGCTGGTAGCGGATGTCGGGGAGGTCACTGCGGTAGGCGAAGTAGCTGACGTTTGTGACGTCATCGATGTTGGCGATGTAATCGACGTTGGCGATGTGACCGATGTTGGTGATGTCATTGATGTAGGCGACGTGACTGACGTTGGTGAGGTAGGGTTCGATGAAATGCCAGTCCTTTTAAAAATGAGATGATATTAAATTCCAAAACAATGAGATGAACATGAGAATAGAAACAGAAAAGGGAAGAATTTTTTTGCTGCGAAACTAGCACCGTTAATTTTTTGTAAAACGCTGATTATGAAGTCATGGATTTGTCTCTCTTGGTCCTGTTATGCGGGACAAAATTGTCACAATTTAATTAATAATGTCCAATTAAGCCGTTAAATATTGTACCAAATACAAAAGGATTACATCTTGAATTACGTGTAAAAAAAATGTTTAAAATAGAATGGTTTTGTTTCCAATACCGAACAAATCTATTATTATATTATAACTTACACACATGGGGTTTGACTGGCATAGTTACAAACTGCTAGTGACGTATCGTATCTCAGACCAACTGGACAGCCTATAGGTATTACCATACTGCCAACACACATCACAAAAATGGTACAATCTGAACAGTGACGATACATACCAAATGCTGAACTAGGACATACATTTAATACACACTCATCTGAAACAAAAAGAATAAATGATTTAATCTGGCTTAGATCAAAATAAAAATGGATTTTGGATTCAAGTATTAAATACGGGGAAGCAAGTGACAACGTATGTGTTTCTGGTGGGACGAAAAACCGAGGTCCACGTGTACACAGTTGGAATTCAATCCGCTGACTGGACAAAATTTACCTCGTAGCATACTGCATGGCTTATGCCTGTCTTCCATTAGCCCAGTAGGATATTAAACCACATTTCATTTCATTTGTTTTAAATAACACAGTTAGTGGGTGGCATAATAAATATTAGGGTATCAACGGATAGCAAATTGATATTTCACAGTTACGGGGTTGCGATTGAGATTTGAAAACTTAACGCCCATTTCCGAGTAAAGGGTGATACCGCAAACAAATGCTTCCTAGAAAACTTCCTGCGTCGCAAGTCGTGCTCGCCAGAGGTTAGTCCAGCATATTGTGGGAACGAGTGGGCGCCTCCACTCTCTTGATTAAAAGCGCAAACGTGCAATTTGAGATATAGTCTGTTCTTATTACACTCCAGAGGCGGGAATTTGAGATGAGCTAGTGGTCAAGCGTGTCGCGTTTCGAGCTCTAGCTTACTGGTCACCACTGGCTTATTGTCGTGGTTTCGACAAATGGTGTGAGCGTATGTGGCTTGGAGATAGGGGCGCCTTCTCAAACTAGTGGGTTTACTCCGGGTACTCCGGTGCCCTCCCACAGGAAAGACGCCTGCCTGTGCGGTAAGATAATAAACTGAAAAACAATATCACAACTTATCTAGGATATTACCCTCGGTGGAAGCAGACGTAAACCCAATGTAGGTATTAAACCAGGAACCATACCCATCGTTATAGAATGTAGCACTGTAGGGTAGACCAGAACTAATCGATCCTGGGGCAAGTCTAACCAAAGGCGATATCATGTGACTGGAAAACGGTTCCCGATAATCGATACCTCTGAGTGGCCATAAGATCGCTAAATTCACGCTACTTTGATTTTGATAGTTTTCGAATGGTAACCATTACTTTCTTAAAATGTGAGATATCTTGCCTAGTTTTTAATTGGTGCCGATTGTTTGAAATAATGGTTGACCTAACCTCGGTCTCATCGTCATGGGAATATAAATTTTCTCAAGTCAATTGCTACCTACCTGCTAGAAGCGGTGTAAAACACCACGTGACTAGTATCAGTAAACTTGTGTAACAATTCATTTTTAATGAGAGATCCGGGTAGATATAGATTCCTTCTTTCTGAAATAAATCACAATCCTTTAATTTACAAATTTGCTAGTTTTGTTGACAGTCTCTGGACTCAAACGTCATTTGAAATAATGAGCGTCCCTAGTTTATTCAAGATTCCTGGTCAAATATGCGATTTGGGTTATAGACACTGAAGAAGGAACACAATCAACTGAAATTTTAGAGGCTGCATTGTAAATATTTACTTATTCAATTTCGTGAGCTTTCCAAACATTAAAATCAAATACTCTGAGTTATACAGTCGTTTGAAATCTGTTTCAAATCTTGGTGGAAATTATAACCCTCTTCTACTTTCTAGGTTACCAAGATTTTCAGTTGTGACATGTAGGTCCGTTTTATCCAAAAACACTAGCACACGATAAGTCTAAAATATATTCAAAAATTGTCGAAGGGTATTATGCGTTGGCAAACGAGGGTGATATTTTGTAATTATGTTTAATGCTGCGTTTAGAAGATATAAATGGAATAAAATGGGGTTTACGCCCAACTTTCCAACACTAAACGGGCAAGTGAAGACGGGATAAAAACTAAAAGATATAACTGAAGATGTCCATCTGTTTCTATATTCTAACAGATTTAATACAGATGACGGTTACTTGTATAAAATCTTAAACCGTTCTAGACATCCCAGTTCAAACTACACATTCCAACTTGCCGAAGCCATATTGAATGGATTTTTTTGTATTCTTTCAAGGTCGATATCGATGACAGGGTCATTATTGATGATGCCACTAACCCTTTCTTTATTTTAGAGCTAAATCTGCCTACAGTAGGTCTTTCTGTTGGCCCCCAAAGTGTTATATACATTATTAATTAGACATGTTTTATTCGCGTGACAAGCCCATCTCTCTAGATCATCGGGTGGTCGCAACTATATTATAATGAGAACTGTCAACTATTTATCTAAATCTTGCATAGCATCGTAAAGAGTTTAAAGAATATAGACAAGGTTTCATCAGGATAGATTATGTTTCTAAAAAAGCTATCATCATTATAAGCCTAATATATCTTTTTTTAAGAGTATAGTTAGGGATGGGCCACCTCTTTTAAAAGGGGGTAATTATGTATAGTATATAAATCGTATAAATCATAATGCATAAAGATATAGAAGGGGTAAACATACCTGTCAGTTATGCTGTGATATATTCCCGCTGCTCTGTTCCTTAATTGATGTTTCTGGTAACGTGAATGCTTTATTTGCAGTGGACACCAATGAACATTGTCTAAGATTTTCTAGCCTATTTTATCACCAATGTCACGTTGGCACCAATTAATAAATCGGTTTCATCTTGTAGATAAAAATTTAAATGCTTGAAAATCATTGAGATTGTTACAGATAGATTAAAATGACCGGTTGTTTTGTGTAATTTTAGCCCAAAGGATTGGTGTGTCTGTAGCCTGGAGTAAAACGTGATCTGCGTTATATAATATACTAATCATTATTGTCTGTTATCAAAATAATTCTATGTAATGATATAAAATTTAATTTATATAACATGGTAATTTATACAATATAGGTCTACGGAGGTCGCACGTGTAAGTTTAAATGGGTGGCCGAGTGGTCAGTCAAACCAATACAAATAAAACATAATTAAACTGTAAAATAAGATAAAATCGTGCCAGGTGAAAAAAATGTGACACCCGGGGCAGCGCAAACTCTAGCAACGCTACTGATTAAAACATTCAGTGGTGTGGGAGTCCGGGGCACTTTGAACCAGTTTTTTCACATCCGTAGTTGTTCCCTTTCCATATTAAAAGTTTTATGAGAATTGAGAAGGTCTATATAGACTATCAAGCACTGTGGTCATTGTTGTAGAAAATGCAGGGCCCAATTTGGGAGGTCCGAAGTTACAGAGAGAGAGAGAGAGAGAGTTAAACGTCCACTCGACACGAGAGAGAGAGAGAGAGAGAGACTTGAACTTCCACTCGACACGAACTAGGTTCAATTTTATTTCAATAATTCGCTTGCGCGTAGGGGTTCTTAGCAGTGGGAGGAAACCGGAGGGCCCAGAGAAGACCCGTGAGGTTGTCACTTGTCACGTACTACTTGTCGCGTACAACCGGGTAGGCCTAATCGAAACCCGTCACTTGATTGAACGACAAACCTTATGATACAACGCGCTCGCACTAACTATGCTGCCATCCAACCGTACCCACCCCAATGAATACATTGCAGGATATGAATAACTTTAACTAGGCCTCTATTCATCCATATTTAATTTAATGCCAACATAAGATCTCAGGTGTCGACGGGATGTAGGCCAATTCAATTTTTAGCGCGCTTAATTATAGACCAACAATATTATTCTTATCCACCCATTTCTAACATTTTCCTCCGGATGCTAAATTTGCCCATGCCATTTTATTTATATTTTTTTTACCAAAACTTTCAACTTAATATCTTGAAATTATATATTTTTAAAAATTAGTTTTGTGTAGACTGTTCGTTGTGTTACAAACCACATATGGGTAAGGGGATATAACTCTGTTTTAGACCAGAGTTATCTCCCCAGAGGGCAAGCCAAATTCCAATATGGAGAAGCGTAAACAAGATTTCTGAAATGCTTCGTGTTTGTCCTCAAATGACATTTGATTACAACCCTATTTCATGGATTTATTTAACACAGAATGTCATACGTAGATATAGAATCCTTCTGGAAGGAACATCAACATTCGTAAGGCTATTTTTTAGCTATAACATATGAAAATTGATAGTCAAATCCGTTGCCATGCATATTAATAGCCTAGGCTAGATCTTTGTTAGAGTGGTTCGTGCAAATAACAAAAATCCAATAAACGGGCTATATTTGGGGCTTATTTTAACAAATATGATAAGACTTACCATTAAAATCATCATTCATTAACAATTAAACTATTGCTAAGTTGGATATTTGTGTGATTTGGCCATTTGAATGGGACTTTCTAATATATAGAAAAGTTGATCGCCCAAGTAGCGTTACAGCGGTAGATTTTTTCATTCATAAGAGTTATGTTGCTCTGGAAAACGAATACTTAATTTCCGCAGTCGGTATTCTTCGTTTTTTAGGTAGGCCTACAATTAACGATTGAATTTAACATTTGTATTTAACATTTGTACGCGTGCGCAGCCCTCAGAGAGAGAGAGAGAGAGAGAGAGAGAGAGAGAGAGAGGTTGTCTGTATTTTGAGCTGATTTTTTTTTAACGTTTACATGCAATAGACTATAGTTAAAACTTTCTAATAAGGGGTGAATTTCGTTGTTTACAAATGCAGTATGTACATGTAGAGAGTGCTTACCGTACTCATACATGTATTGTAGATGTTAAATATCCTTTATGATAATCCTATTTTGTTTCAAATAATTATCACAAATATAAAAATTATACACATCAAAAACAGAAGAGCACACGACATGCGTAAAGAAAAAAAGCCTTAAGCATTTTCAGATCGGTTTGGTAGCAGTGGTCCAAATGTCTAGCATTGCATCCGGAATTCCGTATAAGAATCTACTTAGAAGTCAAAAATGCGACTCCTACACATTGCGCTCTGAACTGTGTTATAAATTATAGAATAAACCGTAGATCAATTGTACCCATTTCAAGGTGAAACTGCATGCTTTTTGATATGATTGGGCTATTTGTGGCGCCAGATAATCTAAAAATAGAAGTCGATATGTGACAATGCGTCTCGAAAAATTCTTTGATCTGTTATATGACGGGAAAATTCTGTTATTAAAAATAACCGGCATGACAATGACTACATAATAATAAGTTCTACAATAGGGATCTTTTAGTGAAATGTTAGAGAAATTTAAGTTTAAATATAACATTTGTGTTTGAATTACCACTTATGGTTGGTTGTGTCGTATTATGTATCAATCTGGAAATTTCTGTTTTATAGCTATTGTTCTCGAAAGTAAGACGCACAATTTTCGCATCGTGTCGCGTTTTCATATTTTTAATAATTATAAAACAGTCAATGTGCGTCTTTTTTGGTTATATTTCATTTCTAGAAAAATGAGTTGTTGCTGGATTTATAATAACTGAAAAGTTTTGTAACCACCATGTTAGAAATGGCAAATGCATAAGGATACTAAACACGAATAATGGCATAGCCATAATGGTACATCCTCCTATTAAATTTGACACAAAACCGGAGGCCAAATTCGCAGCGCCCTAAAATGATTAGAATCCGAGTCTTGTGACCAGTACCGTAATTTTATTTTAATCATACATGTCTGGTTAATCGAGACTAGGGAAAATAATTTCGTTCAATTAATTTCCAGTCTCAAATTTTTTCTGCGTATTTAGAGCTAGCAACAATGTAACTTCTTAAGTAACTAAAGTGCCCACTAACAACAGAGTTTTACGGTTAAATAAAAGTAACTTTCACAGTCTTGCAGTGTCGGTATGTTGCCACGAAAGTGGATTTAAAAGATAGAAAAAGGGCAAAACTACATGAGTTGACTCTGAACCGAGAACCGTTACAATATATACGTCATTGGTTACAAACAACTAACTTAGAAATTAAATTTTAGCCAATATTTTTAATCTAGTTCGTAACTACTTATTTTTAAAAGTCCAACGAGTAAAGAATAATTTTTTACATGGCTTCATTGATAAATAAGTGAATGAATATTGTCACGTGAATGTCTATTTTGGGCGACTGTTTGCTGCCTACAGTGCACGAGCGAGCCCGTGAGAGCACTTTTCTCATAAACGAAGTTTTGATCCGCGTCAGGCAATCAAACCTCTGTCGATTCACTCAGATATGTTTTTCTTCAATCTAGTCGTTTTCATTTGCATAAATACTCCCACAAAACGATATCAATTTTTGTTGACTTTTGGGTGTAGAATGTAATATTTATATTACTTTCGTCCGTTTCCATTTTGTCACGGCCGCCATGCGCTGACGTCACACAAAAAGCTAACCAACCTCTGAAGTCTTGTATACTTCCGCCTCAAAATGATGAATATTCACCAATACCTGGCAGAAAATGTATATGCAAACCCTCTTCTTCGATTCTACACCCAAAAGTCAACAAAAATCGCCATGCAAAAGGGGGAAAATGGAAAGGGGGAGAAAAACTAAAAATATCTTTGGCACTTGTTTCAATGGTCTACTCACTGCGGATTGATTTTGTGTGACATCAGCGCATGGCGGCCGTGACAAAATGGAAACGGACGAAAGTAATGTAAATATTGGAAACAAGTGGCTATGATATCGTTTTGTGGGAGTATTTATGCAAATGAAAATGACTAGATTGAAGAAAAAACATATCTGAGTGAATCGACAGAGGTTTGATTGCCTGACATTACGAATTGTTGAAAAAAAACGAGCCGAAGCGAGAGCAGGTAAAATCGAGTCTTCAACAGGCATTGCATTCCTGTTCTTTTTTATTATATATTGTCTGGTTGGACATGGTGTATGCATATAATATACAGATAGAAGGTCAGACTCCTGTGGTTATAAAAACATCCAATTTACACTACATTGGCCTATTTTAATTTATAATTTATTTTATGTTGCTTTTTTTTCTTTATTTTCTGATAATCATATAAATAGATTTGATTTACTTTTTGATTTTACAGACTGAAACAGATACGAAGTAAATTGGGAAAAAATCGACCCACGAAAGTTCGAGTTGGATCTGGTTCTAGTACACGATCTAATCCTCGTTATACACATAAAAACACATCTTATAATACTGGTAAACCAATACTAAATAATCAGAACGGACTTAAACAGAGACGAGATGTTCCTTTAAAGGTTCGAATAGCCTCTGGTTCAAGTACTAGATCAACCCCTTCAGAAATAGAAAATGTTCCATTACGAAAATCTGCATTGACTCCTCCTATTAGTTCGAGGAAGTATTCACCAGCTCATTCTCATCCACCCTTTGGTAAATACAGAAAATCTCCGCCAGCTCATTTGTCCAGGTAAATAATAAATCTAATTAATTTGATCGACTTTTTGTTATAGATTGCTCTCCCTAGATTAAAAGCTTATACCGTACTGTCATCTTTATTAGCTAGCAAGACCAAATTTTAGGTTAGAAGAACAACTGGAAGAAATTCCGCTTCATCCAGCAATAAATATAAATATTCACTGCTTTAGAAGAGGTATATATCCAATAGTATGTGTATGGTACAGTAATTCTAAATATGAATATAAAACACCGACTCTAGTGGGGTATAAAATAAGTAAGAAAAATACATTTGTAAATTTGTATGCTTGATAATGATCAGTGAAATCTTGTCGAACCGTCATATGTATATTATATAGTGATTCATTGTTATCCATAAAACTGTGGTGTGGTGTGTTATATTTAAAACATTATTGCACCACAAAAAAGTGGGAAAATTCCCTAATCCTGTAATTGTCACTAAAATACCATGTCTAAAATCTTTGATCACATCACTAATTGGTTGGAAAGCTAATTTAGGATTCCACTATTTTTCACAAAATGTATTAAAAACATAGTAGACTACACCCACTATTTTTCAGGTATTTCACTAAAAATGTATCAAAAACTTAGTAGATAATACAAACTACACAGAATATATGAGTTTTGTATTCAATGACTAGAAATTAGAAAAAAAATTTATGAATGTTAAATTTACCATCTGTTTTTAGGCTTGAATCACCAAACACAGCAGAAGTCAATAATGGACGTAAATTAAGGGGAAATAAATTTGATGTGGTTCCGCCTGTTAAACCTAAAAAAGCATTTGAAAGGTAAGATATTTCATCTTTCATATTGTGTTACAAACTAAATTGGCTGTAGAAGATATTATTGACATTTGTCTGGTTGCAGTTTTTCAAAGGTTGATTCATAAATTAAATTTTAAGATTTCGCTTCCTATTTCTTGAGGAAAAAATAATAATGTAAAACAAAAATTAATTTTTTTAAGAAATGCAAAATCTCATTTTCTATGTGGGGTTGGCCGAAGTCCTGAAGTTTTAATCCTTATTTTAGTGCCTGGATATCCAAATGTCAAGTTATAATTCCTTCAATGAGTTACATAACCCTTTTAAGCAAATCTAGAAAGCATTTCACTGTGGTTTATTATTTTTATTTGAAATTTAAATAAATTATATTGTGAAAATTTGGCATTTGATTTATTGAATTTATTAAATTTGGGAATGTCCCTTTAAACCATCATGATAAATCACAAATTATTTTTTTATCAACCTTTCAGGAAAGTAGATTATGATAGTTGGGGTGATGATAGCGGTAATGAATCAGATGATGAACAGGTCCACTATATGCCTCAGCCACACCCTGTGGCCTTTTATCCTCCACCCACAGTAGTTTATGGAGCCCCCTTCCCTGTTTATTATCCCCCTCCTCCGAAAGGAGCGAGGGGAAATCGACGCGGCCAGAAGAAAAAAAGTGATCGAGGATATAAGGACATGTACAGAGACAGAAGAAGTTATAATTCTAAACGTAAATCAAAAAGTAAACCGCCACGTTCCCCGCTACGTTCCCCACTAGTCACTCGTAGATCTGTACCTCGGAAGAGAAATGATGACAGTTTTGACACGCCAAGTGCTTCATGTCCATCATGTGTCACTGATTTATCAGATGATGAAAAACCAAGATATCAGGTATTTTTTAATAGAAAAAATAAATGTTTGTTTGCAACACACCAAAAAATTTATTTGTAATACAAAATAATGTATTTGTTTAAATGTAGCTGTTATTTAATTTGGAAAAACTTCCTGTCTGATTATGGAAAATATGATTGTGTAGTATTGTTATATTTATAATTTATCTCATAACAAAAATGAAATGGGGATAAACGTCCTATGTTTCTGCACTAGCTGGAAGACGAGCATTCACCATACAGTGTCCTTTGAGTAAATTTTGCTCGGGCAGCAGAACTATAACCTACTCTTCTTATTTCGAATTCTAACTGTCAAGGGTTATTGTACATGCATGCCAACGTGTACACAGGGTTTCATTTTTTCACCCTATCTGAACAACTAGATCTCCGACCTCCTTCCTACATCTTTAAGGAGAATCCACACTGGAAGTATCTCATGACTATTTATGTGTATCACCTATGTGAGTAACTGGAGCTCTTGTTTTAGTCATATTTAGGGTGCCCCACCATAAATAAATATCTCCAAATATCTCGACAATTACACCACAATATTTATATATATACTAAGCCTTAAATCAGTTTCGCACAATTATAGTCACTAAATAAACAGTCATGTTGTACTTAATAAGATATGACCATTTAACCATCTATAAATAATACACTGAAAAATGGTTCGGAGTGTCGTACATGACATCCAGACACTTTTGAGCAAAAAATAGGTTATGTGCCCTTGTTTTGAGTTTAGTCTCACTTAACCAGTCTACCGACCATTCTCCGTCTGATTGACAGGCCAGGGTAATCAAGACTACTTTTTTACGAAACATGACAGAAAGCTAGAATAAGAAATCAAATTTACAAATAATGCCCGGTGGGCGACACAACAATTGTTTTAAGAACCTTGTAAAAGTAAAATGAAACTACTGCTAGTATCATTTTCCTGCCCAACCCGCGTTATTCAGAGATATTATTTGTACTAAACCAAAAGATGCCACTCCTAACGGTCTACTTAATAATAAAGCAATTTAAAAAATAAAACGAGCGTAATTTCTAAGGCTGCAGTAATAACCAAAAAGCTAAATATTACTGCTATTCAGAATCGTCAACAATAGATTTTTTACGTCTGTAATAGTTATTACAAGTGTTGAGAATTTCACGTGCTGTGGCTATTTATAGACACAAAGAGAGCCTGAGACTCGTCTGAAATCAATTAGAGTTACTTCACTGAAGCGTGCACATTCAAAGTGTCGAGTACAACTTTTAGAAGGGAAAGGATTCGGCCACGGGGCACCCTATCATATTTGCCAAGTCATGACTGACTGGCAGTGAAATTGGCCATCAAATGAAATTACCTGTCAGTCAATTTGCATTCCATAATGATGCATTCCATAATTTGCATTAAATTACCTTGAACACAATAGATACACATACATTTATTGTTTTTATATGCAAAAAATGTATCATGAAAATTGTGATAATACTAAAAATTGGAACAATGTGAATCAAAAATTGATAGTCTGGCAAAATTGTGATACTAACAATTTGGGGATTTTTTTTTAAAAGCAATATTTTATTCTATATTTCTAAAGGGATTAGGGATTGTTAGACTTTTGTATTTAATGTTGTATTTGTTTTTCAGTATATTTTTGCTGGTCACAATACATATGATCCGTATGGTGAAGAAATGGTAAGAATATTTCATTGTATTTATGTAATCAGTTTTTGTATTAATTTTGTGGTTTTGGTGTATTTGATTTCATGTTCTGTTCTTGTTGTTGGTGTTTTTGATGCCGTGTGCTGTCCATATTCAGTTTAAATACACACAAATTATGCACCAAAATAACATAGTGTTTTCTCCTTTAAATTTCTAACTTGATTGCATTGTGTTTTTTATGTTTTGCCCTGGTCTGATGTTTCCAGTTTATTATAAGATATAAAAACGAAACCATCGATTTGATTGAATTGTAAAAATACATCTAAATCCAAGGTTAGTACTGATGAATATATGGCTGTTCAGAAAGAAAGTACCAATATGATACTACACATATCAAGGGGATGTATACTATCCTTCATGTATCTACAGTTTATGTTTATCAAGTTATTGTGTATTTTATATCTTATAGGATAATTCACCAGCGACCTATCTCATTAAAAAACCTAAATTTGCCAGTGATTTTGTTGACTGGTTTATAGAAGAATGTTTATTAGAAGAATTTGTACCAGATGCTTTAATAGAAATATATGATGAATTAGAACAACAAGTTGGTTAATGATCAATTTCACCTTTCAGTAGATATTATACACGTAGATAGTCCTTTTTTTCATCAGGAGCTAGAATATAGAATAGATAGACTTTTTCTTTTATCATCTAGAATGCAAACAGCATGTAGATATCTTTTTCCTTTCAGCAGCTAGAATAGAGAATAGATAAACTTTTCCTTTTAAAATCTAAAATGTAAACATATAATATGCATTGCTTCTTTCCTTCAGCAGCTAGAATATAGAATAAACTTTCCATTGAAGAATCTAGAAAGTAAACATAGAATATATATCAAGCCTCTTCACTTCATCAGCTAGAATATAGAATAGATCAACTTTTCTTTTTAAAATTTAGAATGTAAACATATGATAGATAATTTCTCCCTTTCATTAGCTAGAATATAAAATTTATAGACTTTTCATTGTAGAATCTAGAATGTTCCATAAAATATAGAAACTTTGTACAGACATCAACCTATTCTATTTATATATTTTCTAATGTATAAGCTTATTGTTTAACGTACAGTAGCTGGCTGAGGTAGGCAAATGTTGTTGTGCAAACCTTACAGGGAGTAGCGACCCTGCCTTGACGAGTATGAATCTTCTAATTAGTCCCATTGATATTCCATGTATTGGAATATGAGATGTTGATGACTAGTCATCTTGTTAAAATAGAATATAGAATGTAAACATAGAAATGAAGTGAAATTTAATGGGGTTTAACGTCCTACTGTTCTGCTACGAACTGGGCTAATGAAGACGGGCATACGGCATACAGTGTGCTATGAGGGAAATTTTGCTTGGGCAGCGGCACTACAGCCTATTCTTATATCGAATTCCAACTGTCAAGGGATATTTTACGTGCAAGCCAGCTGTCAGGTCCTTCATCCTGCATCACTGACAAGGGGGAACTACAGCGGAAAATCTGGATGAACTTTCTCGGCCAATGCAGGGATTAAACACCCGACCTCCAGGCTAGCGAGCCAGCGTCTTACCCACTTAGCCACTGTGATCCTGTTAACATAGAATACAGAATGTAAACATATAATATAGATAGCTTCTTCCTTTCAGTAGCTAGAATATAAAATTTATAGACCTTTAATTGTAGAATCTAGAATGTAAATTAATATAGATCTAGCCACTTCCTTTCAGCAGCTTGAATATAGAGTAGATAGTCTTTTCATTTTAAAATCTAGAATGTGAACATAGAATATAGACAGCTTCTTCCTTTACGCAGCTAGAATATAGAATGTATAGACTTTTCCATTTATAATTAGAATCTGGAATGTAAACATAGAATATATATAGCCCATTCCTTTCAGCAGCTAGAAAATAGAATAGATATACTTTTGTTTTCAGCAGTTAGAATTAGAACAATGAATTTAAATGCCGCGAACAGAATGGCAAGCAATCTGATATATATCATTTAATTAATAATTGTTTTGGAGTAATCTTTAAACATGCTGACATGTTTAAAATATCTGATTTTATGAAAATTAAGATGTAAGCTTATATATTTTTTTATATCTTAGATTCTTACCTGTAGAGAGAAACATCATAATCTGTTTTCCTTTAATCTTCTTAGATAATCGTGTATTAACTTGCTGGATAGCTTCTCGTTCTACTGCTAATCTTACACAGCTTTGCACATAGCTTAAACTCTTTATTTATCAGATGATTTGTTATAGGTTAGAACAATTCTTTCATGGTATCATATACGTCATTGGTCAGGATTGTTTACAGTGGATGACATGACCGGTGTGCATGACGTCATAATTTATTTAAGAACTGATCTAGGTCGGGGAAACCTCCTCGTTTTCTATAAATAGATGGGGGGTTTACTGCTTGTATCTCCATTATTACACAAAAAAACAGTCGAACTGTTATATGTCCTCTTGGTTATTTTAAACATGGAGCGAGTATGCAAAGTCTTAATACGATTGGTGTTGAAAAGTTAGTGCGTATCTTAGACAATTCAAAGCCCTTTGAAGTTTCCTTATATCATTAAAATTTACAAGGACTTATTACCCTCGATAATCTTTATCTACCCAAAAATTATGTCAGTGTCATTCTATTATGAAATATTATTTAATATGCATTTAAGTAAGTTGATTGTTAGAAATTTCTGTCAGTTTGTAATAATTTGAATATTTCTGTCTTCCAGGCAGCAAGATATGGTAATAGTTTTCCATCTGCTCGAGAGAGTGATCCAGAAAAAATAATAAGAGCATTTTATAAACCTACATTACAAGTCTGTGAAGATTTTCTTGGTCGAGAAATTGATAAAATGTTACGCGATATTGTTTTAGATGCTATTAATTCATTGGCTGATGAGTAAGTCAGATAATAAGAACCTTTTAGAATTCCTAAGTTTTAAGCAAAAGGTTTAGAAATGATGTAGGCCTACATATATATGGCAAGTAAACATATTTAAAGGTCAAATGTAATTAAACATACATTATACAAGAGCTAAATCTGCCTATTACAGGTCTTTCTTTAGGCCTGAAATGTTATCTAAATTATTAATTAGACATTAATTAACCCATCGAGACCATAATCAACTCTAGATGGCATCGCTAGCCTGCGATCTTAAGTGGATTATCAGCTGATTTACTGCATAACTTTCCTTCACGATATAACGTTTAAATGGATAATCAAGACTATGCTGTTTATTGTACTGACTTTAGTAATGTTGATCGAGGCTAGGCGGAAATTTCAATCGCTTAGTTCTCGGTTCATAGTGGATCAATTTGAATGAAATTTTTTAGCAAATTGCCTTTACATTATCTAGTTTTTAACTTTTATAGTGAGAACTGCCAATCTCCCATAATGTATCTTTAACAAGGACTGAAAGCATACTGAGGCTGTATATTGAAATGTCCTTGCCATTTTCCTTGTCTTATAGCACGGTGCTGCAAATCTTGAGTCTGCCACTCATGCCATCATGAGTCTGACGGGAGTAAGATTTCCTCTACTATTCTTTGATTTCTTCCCACAGTCAAATATCCTTGTATGAGAGAGTAAAATTAATTTTAACAATAGACTCACCTCTAGACTATCCAGGCATGGAATAGTGGCACCAGACAAGAAGTTACAGGATTTTTTATGCCCTTCCTGCCCCTATAAAAGAGCGGTGATATATACAGTGATTTTGTTAGAGGATCAAATATATGGTAGAAAAGTAGAAGAATGTGTATCGTGGCGTGAACTTGATTATATTTTTTGTTATTGCTATTTCAGTCAGATAATGGAGAAGATTGAACGTGTTGATCCGTTAGAGGAATGGTTAAATAGATTAATTAATGAAACTATACATCAGTGTTGTTACGATATTGTTAAAGATACTGCTGTAGAGATGGCCGATGATCATATCGAGAGAGAATATAGAAACAATATATTAGATGATGTCATTACTGATTATATTATAGAAATAGGACCTTCACTTGTAAGTATATCCAATAACTTCCAAGGACACAATTACTGAGTGATGTTTCTACTAGGATTCTCTAATCTTTATCAACCAGTGACAAAATAAAACCTAGTTGAAATGTAACTCAGTAGTAAACACTAATTGTTTTCCATAGAAGTGTGTCCTGTCTTTATTAAAAAACAACAACTTCCCATTTGCACTATTTGCAGTAGATCTAAAACTTTGTTTGCAATATGAAAAATTCTACCGAGCAAGTCTGGAAATAAGGCACCTGTCACAGACATTGTCAGGCACAAATGGAGGCCTTGTCAGACGGATTTGGTGTCTGTCATTTTATCTGCAACAGATTTGTTTTTTCCTGTTTATTGATTGTATGAATACAGTTCAAAATGTCCAGTAGTAGTTATTGGTGCCTAGCTGACATCTTCTGGCTGTCAAGGCGTCATGATGTATAGTTTTTAACTTGTCACATGGATTATAAAGACAAGTTTGTTATAAATATCCTTCTACTAAAATAAGACTGAAAAAAAGAGCTATTGTCATGGCATTGAATGTTCTCAGTTTTTATTGTTTTGGGCTTTGAATTGGTAAAGAATTGATAATCACTAAACAATTGTGCGTGTACTGTGATCTTTAGCAACTTAAAGAGCTGTAATATTGACTAAAGAGTATATTTTCTGTAAAAGTTTATTATTTTGTATGTTTGTAGGTAAATGATTCTGTATTTGAGTTGTTATTGGAAAGATTTATAGAAGAAGAAGTGATCAAACCAGAAGTAGCCGATGATAGTAGAGAAATAGCCAAAGAAATTATTCAAAGTTATGACAATAAAATTATAAAACGTGAACTTCAGGCAGTAAGTTTACCTATCAGTATATATCATTTATATTATAAAAAATAATTTTTTTGTTTTTGTTTGTGGGTTCGCCATAGGATAACAAACAGTTGAACTTGTATAAAGTAACTTCATAATAAAAAGTGTTTTGGAAGGAATTTAAAATGCTATTTATTTTGTATTTAGTACAGTATTTAGTAATGAAACTGACAATTGATGTCTATGGCATTATGGACATTTTGTCTAGGAAACATTTCTGTACTACACAAGGCCTTCAGAAAAACTAGCAAATTCCTAACTAAAAATCAAAACTATGTAAGACCCATGCAACAACGGGTATAAAAATATGGTTAGCATGTGTACAAGCTTACTAGAAATAAGGCAACTGCTAGAGATATTGTCAGGCACTAATTCCAGCTTTGTTTTTGTTTAACACTCTAATTCATATCTGTATAAATGTTAGTTGTAAGTGCAGGGGATCTGCACCACACACAAACAAATATACAAGACAAAACCATGGACAAGACACAAACTACAGACATCACAAACAACAAACATACATATCAGATCAAGTGAATGAATCTGGGTGCCTAGCCGTAAGCGTCCACTGCTAGATATTTCAAGGGGTGCATGTTTAATGTTGCAGAAATATTGTAGTTCCGTCAAAATGCCTCTCATAGTTCAATGCATGGCATATGCCTGTCTTAATAAGCCCAGGAGCCACGGTGGCTAAGTGGGTAAGACACTGGCTCGCTAGCCTGGAGGTCGCGTGTTTGATCCCTGCATTGGCCGAGAAAGTTCATCTAGATTTTCCGACATGTTTTCCCCCTTGTCAGTGGTGCAGGATGGAGGGACTGACAAGGACAGCTGTCTAGTCGTTCAGATGGGATGAAAAACCGAGGTCCTGTGTATACATGTGCATGCACGTAAAAGATCCCCTGGCAGTCGAAATTTGATATAAGAGTAGGCCATAGTGCCGCTGACCGGGCAAAATTTCCCTCATAGCACACTGTATGACGTCTGGCCGTCTTTATTAGCCAAATTGGAGCAGAACAGTAGGACGTTCAACCCCATTTCATTTCATTTCATTTAATAAGCCAAGCTGGTGTAGAAGAGTTGGATTTTAAACCCTATTTCATTATATTGCTATGTGTTGTTATAGGTAACTCGACAGGCTGAAGATAAATTAGCTGATTCTCTGTGTTTAGAATATCTTCTATCTACAATAGCTAGACAAGGTCAACTGTGGACAGAATCAGATTATGCTAGTAGATATCTAGATAGTAAGTATATTAAATATAACATGGTAAGGGAGAAAATTCACAACTTTCTTTGATTTTGAATATCAATGTTGGTTATAATTTCAAGGATTTTCCTGGACAATTTGCGTGGCATCGATAAAAATCAAGAATGTGAAGAAAAAAGAAAGCTCCCTGTGTGCTACCTTTGAAATACATAGTACAATCGGATGGTACAAAAAAATAAGGTCCTGTGTACATATTGGTGCATCTACAAAATTCACACTGCCATTGGAAGTGAAAGAAAGGTTTGCAGACAACCGCTGTTTAGGAAAAACTCACCCCTTCCATTTCTCATTTGACCATAGAAGTAAAAATTACCAAATGTTAGTCTCAGAATTAAATCATTGACAAGATGTTGAACCCCATTAAGATAGCAAATCTTTGTTGAGGAGTCCAAAAATGGTTTCTGGCACCATTTTCTTGGATATCTTTTCATTAAACAATTATATTTCTAGGCCAACTTTGTGACTTAAAGTTACGAAAGTATTACAAGCAGGCTGAAACTAGCCCATTTTGTTATATGATTAGTAACATATCAGTGGAAGGGACAGGGCCTTGGTGACCCTAACCCAGAATTCCACATGAATTTCCAAATGGAAATAACCTCCCCAACAGACTGACAACACTTATCAAAACAACAAATTGTATTTTACCATACAAACATGTTTATTTATTTATTTATATTTACAGATATTGTCGTGAATACATTAATAGAACAGTTTCTTACAGTTTTACACAATCGTGATAAAACTTTAAATAATAAACCATTGAAAAAACTTCATCAAAAAGTTGTTACAGATGTGGTAAGTAAACATTCTTTTATTTTTATTAATTATGCCATAGGTTCATAATAATATGTTTGATTGAATATTCACAATTACTATTAATTTATATTATTATTATATTTTACTATTGATTTATCATATTATTATTATATTTTACTATTGATTTATCATATTATATTTTATCATTTATTTATCATATTCTTATTTTATTTTACTATTGATTTATCATATTATTATTATATTTTACTATTGATTTATCATATTATATTTTATCATTTATTTATCATATTCTTATTTTATTTTACTATTGATTTATCATATTATTATTATATTTTACTATTGATTTATCATATTATATTTTATCATTTATTTATCATATTCTTATTTTATTTTACTATTGATTTATCATATTATTATTATATTTTACTATTGATTTGTCATATTATATTTTATCATTTATTTATCATATTCTTATTTTATTTTACTATTGATTTATCATATTATTATTATATTTTACTATTCATTTATCATATTATATTTTATCATTTATTTATCATATTCTTATTTTATTTTACTATTCATTTATCATATTATTATTATATTTTACTATTCATTTATTATTTTATATTTTCAGGCATTAGACGTGTTACTACAGAAATTATCATCTACATTAGATGAAGATATTGCTGATGTTGATGAATATGAACGAGGTATTTTAGATGATCTTGAACCACCATTATGACCTTCACAATAAGTTTTGTTATCATTGAATAGTTTCAACTTAGGAAAGAGCAGAATTCGTCATGATAATTTGGTCAGGAAGAAATTATCAAATTTGATCTGAATCAATGAAATAACCAGGTTGTCAGTGTTCCTTGGAATTAAATTGTACATATTCAGTGTGATTGTTAGGCGTGAATTAGACATGAGGCTGGAAGTTAAATTAGATTGCCAAACACTTCAACTATGTGAAGACCTGTTGTATTAAGGCCAAACTAATTCAATTTTTAGTTCTTTGAGGTCCTGATAAGTAAGTAAATGGTCACTCAAGTCTTGTGACTATAAAACTTAACAAGTTTGAACTAAAAGCTCTTGTGAAGAGAAGCCAAGTACTTTTTATTTTAAATTATTATTTCCCCCTGGAGAAATTGCTCTGGTCTCACTGATATTTACTATTGATAGTCTATGTGTAAAGTATTCATGTACCACATTCAATTTCTAGATATTTCACACAATTCTGTAAGTTTAACAGATTTATTATAGTTAACTTTTAATTAGAATAATTGTGTATGGTATGATTTGAATCTCAGATGCTGTTAATATATATTATATGAATGTTGATAATATTCTATGTTAAATACTTATTTGAAATGAAATGAAATGGGGTTTAACGTCCTACTTTTTAAATGTCTGTGTATATAGTGTGTCTTGTCCACAGGTTTTGTCTTGTGTGGTGCAGTCCTCCGGCACATATTATTAATTATTATATATATATGATGTAAATATATAAACATTAATACTGCTATATACACAAAATGTATATACAAATTATTATTTAGCCAATAATTTTATGTATATTATAATTTGACTGTTTCACATTTCCTGTTCCTGAGTCGTCTGTGAAATGGCATAAAATTTGTTACCCTGGTTGTGCAACTTTCTAGCATTTTATAATAACTGCTACATGTGTATACAAGTAATTACTTATATTTTGTTAACTTTAATGTAAATGCATTGTATTTAAGTAAACTGTTTCATGGTTCCTGACTCTTCTGAGATATGGCTTAATTTGAGTTACCATGCTATTTAGTAGTCCATTGATATTATGTATGCTATGCCCTACCATGTTTCTCAAACACCTGATACCACTTGTCATAAGGCTTCTCCTTGCTCTCTGCACCATTGTATATATATATATATGTTTTATTGTGCAGTCACAGTCTTTGTTAAAATATATATATAATTAAAGACAGGTCTTTATGAAATATCCTTATTTTAAGAAATGTTTATTCTATATTTTTACAGCTTTTATCATGTGTTAAAAGAATTATCTATTTTACATGCGTTGTTAATTAATGACATGTTAATAATTGGCTTAACCCATTAGCACTTGTGTTGCTCAAAAAATACTGCTCAATCTAGGGCTCCAAACCACCCAAGTCACATGAATAGCTTTGAACTATTTATGGACCATGAGGCCCTTTCGTCCTACGGCCAGCCACTGCAAGTCGTTATTATGCATCAACCCTCTCTTGATCGAGAGTGGAAACAGGGGTCAGTTAACATCTGCTTACCATCATCCTATATAGTGGTACTGATTAGGTTATTTCCAGGAACAGTTGGTTAGATTTGTGTGAGAATTATCCTGTATCTCAAAAGTCAAAACTGAGCCTTTATCATCTATAAGGAGGGCAGTGACAATTTTCTCTGACTGTCCTCACTGTATGCTGGACTAACCTCTCAAACACGATTCTCTCACCTGGTATAAAACATTTGTCTGCGATATTATCCAAGGTGCAAGTGGGCGTCAACTCCCCCATGAACGAACAACAGGACAGTCTTTAGTACAGTAGTGTCTCATAGTTTCGAAGAAAATGGAATACAAAACTCAATGCAAAAAAAATCAGTTTTTTCTAACTGTTTTAAGGACCTGGGATAGTTAGTATTTACATGTACCAAGTGCTAACAGGTTAATGACATAATTTGTTGATTTATATTGATCTCTTTGTTCTTACCTCTTGTGATCCACCTGTCAGTTGAATAAATATACTTGTATAGCCCGATTAAAATATGTCATTCTGCTCTGTATTCCAAAAGCAATGGCAACGATCATTACCTGTTCATTAACCATTTCTACATCCCAAAAACAATTATTATCATTTGTTTCCATTGGTCCATCTAAACCATATATTAATTTTCTTGAAAATAATCAATGTGGCAATGGTTAGTGAGGTGGTAATGGTCGTAACCATTACATTGGGAATATATTTGCCCTAGCATTCTCAAAGAACATATGATACAGAGGTTAGTATCTGGAAACATAGTAAAGAATAAAGTTTTATAGTAAACTGTGGGGTTTGTGGAACCAGGATCGATGTCACTGACTATATCTGTTTCTCAAATATACAGAGCAGAGGACCTTTATTATTCACCAAGTTTTAATCTCTAAATTTGACAACTTTAGCTTGTTGACCATTGTTAACTGAATTGTCATTCTTTACAGTCCAATTGAAAGTTTTGGTGAATATGGTCGAAGGGCTACATTTTGTTGAATATAATTTGTATGTATATGATAGAATTCTCTTCTCCTCCTTCCATGACTTCCATCCATTGTTATACTAATATTTAATACTTGTATATTTACTTCAACATGTTCGATCTTTAAATGCCAAAATTTATATTCATTATATTGATGTATTTATTTATAAATTATTACAAAAATAAACCGTTATAAAATTAAATGTTAAATAATCAATATGAAGTGAAATACGCCTAAAAAATTAGTATTGTCCGAAAATTGCAAACCAGGGCAATAAAGATTTCTTTTTCCTGCTAAAAGAACCCAGAAACACAAACGTCTTTCATGAAGATACATAGTCTTACTGGACGGCGTAAAATGGCCGATTTTTCCTAATGTGTTGCTCTGTAAAGTCCTGTTCGTGAGGTGAGCCGCGATCGCCCGGTGAGTAAAACGCTGTCTTACTAATCAGGAGATCCCGGGGTTTGCCGAGAAAGTAACTACATGGTTTCCCATTGTCAGTTGTACAGGATGGTGGGCCTGGCTATGAACCTTGTCTAGTTGTGTGTACCTTTGGCAGTACGTTAAAGATCCCCCGAGAGTTGGAATTGTCCGGGAACAATTCCTCTCATATAGCTTACTTAATGACCGGTACCTGTGTTCCGTTGCCCGGTTTGTAACATACAAAACAGATTTTAATCCATTTTTCTGGATATAATAACATTTTTTGTTTCTGCCAAATCAGAGACTGTGACACCGCTTCATAAGCAGATACCTTTTGTTAGACACGTGGCACTTGGTTTAAAACAGACTTTCAGCCAGTGAGCATAAAAGTAAAATGGAAATTAATTTTAATGATATTTTTTGAGATCCAGACCCCTAAAGCTATTGCGTATAGGCGAAGTCACATCACACCCTTGTTTAATATAGATATAACATACTGTATACATACATCAGATTTATATCTCAACAAGTTACATACAGTAATATATATTTTACCTTTAGGCCTTTAAATAGAATATCAATTATAACCATATCTTATCTATTACCAAAAATATCTCTCCATCCTATCCCTGTAAATATTTGGCCCTGGGGCTTTCTTATTGTCCGGTATATGCAACCAAAAATAGCGAACGTATCTAGAAATCTACAACACTAACTCTTCGTAGCTATTGGTTAATATTTCAGTGGCGCAAAAGATCCAGGAGACTTGTGTCAGAGCTTTATTAAACAAGGTGTAGGTAACACAAACTCTAACCCATCACAAGTTGTTCAAGGGTTATAAGACGGCTGGGTGTACGAGTGGTGAACCATTCAACATTTTCGATCTTCATGTATTTTCGGTAAAGTTTAATAAAGTTAAGAATTATAGCAGAAGGATTTAAATAACAATGTTTATAAAAGGTAAGACATTTTTGTGAAATAAATTATACGGCACTTGCATTCCGATTGTATACTTACAATTTCGAAACACCTTTTTCCCCAGTTTGACGACTTACTAATAACTCGATTTTGCTGAAATGGTGCACATGATTTTATTTTTGTACCCATTTAATTTCAAATTTCGTTGGGTCGTATGTAGATTTATCTTGTTCACATTTCAGCTTAAAGATACATTATGGGAAATTAGATAAAGAGCTGGTAGTTCTCGCTATAATAGTTAAAAACTAGATAATGTAAAGGGAATTTGCTGAAAATTTCAGTCAAACTGATGAACTCTGAACCGAGATTTTAGCGATTGAATTTTTGGCCTAGCCTCGATCATCATTACTAAAGTCGGTACAATAAAAAAAACATAGTCTCGATTATCGATTTCATGATTAAATCAAGAATGAACGTTCAGCAGCAAATGGGATTCTAATCCAGTAAACATCGCAGGCTAGCGTTGACATCGAGAGTTGATTATGGTCTGGATATGTTAATTAATGTCTAATTAATAATTTAGATAACATTTCAGGCCCAAAGAGGGACCTGCAATAGGCAGATTTAGCTCTTGCATAATGTATATTTAATTAAAACTTGAAACGTGGAGATGCAGGGAAAGGCGCTAAGTGAAATTGTTGGATCAATCGTTTGGGCGCTTTAAGAAAATCCTATAAATATTCGATGGCAAATAGCGGAGTTATTCCTCCGTTTATATTCAATTTCATCAAGACTGTGAAGAGAACATAGGGAAGAATCTGAAATTCCGAAGAGATCTCTTTCCATTCTCATTTTAAAACTATGGTCATGGTGGAGTCTTTTTAACAATATGCTCCGTGAAATTTATTTACAGTGATTTAAGAGCCAACGTGGACAACATTGTTGGTAGCGGTCGTCCATGAATTGACTAAAAGATGCTGTACTGTTAGCCTTATTCATTTTTTAAAAAAGAGTTTGTTTTTAATTCGCCTATCTGCTTTAGCCAACGCGAGTGGTTCTAAACTAATCTCGTGATTTTTCAAGCTTTCTTCCCGCTAGTCATAAAAGTGTTCCCTGGTCGTTTAAATTGGCGTGCACGTAAAAGAATCATTGACATGTTGATTACGGTTCAAAGCTACTTCGGTTTCTCATTGTGTGCTACCAGGTTATCACGCAATGTGAACGACAGACCCACCCAACCTGCAGAGATGTAAAAACGCTAATTTTCCTACGTTAGTTACGTACGGTTATCACATTCCAAACTTGTGGTCTTGGGGATAGGAAGATTCAGATGCGGATGTTCAGTGTGCTTCATGCAGTTTTCCTGTAATGGTTTCCTGGTATGTTCATCAAGATAATTTTCATCTGTGAAATTTTCTGTACCGATACTTTTGTCAGCTTAATACCTTGGGGGATAAATTATCAATTTCTTGTAATATTGTAAGATGTGTATTTACAATTTTAAGTCACGAGATAATTTTAATTACAGGTCATCTGTTCGTTCTAGCGGTCAGTTTTATTTCTGTGTCCAGTTTACTCTCTACAGATACACAAAGTAAGTATGAACTGGTCACGTATATCCTCTGGCAATGGTTGGAATTAGTTATTTCAATCACGGGAATCCTGTTTTTAAAAATATAAAAAAGATTCATCTTCATACCCTGTTTATGATCAAGCACCATACAATCCATCCCAACGAAACCCTCTTTAAATTGCAATTAAGACACTTTCAAACCAAATAAAATCCATTGCTTAAGCCCACAGCATTTCCTTCTGCTTTTCTCCTTTAAAGTTTATAAGCTGAATTCCAGGGCACTGGCCTCTGTACTAGAATGTCTCGAGTTTGAACTTCGGAATGGATCGTGAAGACCTTTAAAAACTTTGAAGTTCGACTCTCACTTGTCAGGGGTGTTGCCTGCGGAGGTGACACAGAATAGGATATACATTCGCAGCATTTAAAATAAACCTTGACAGTTGGAATTCGAAGAAGAGTAGGCGAAAACGCCACTATGGGTCTATCATATGTTAGTCTTAAAATCATCGATGTATTGTGTTGACAAGACTTTAAACCCGATCCAATCCCATTCAAAAGTGAGCTCGTACTGACATTTCCTTTTGTACCGTTAACAGACAGAAATTTTAATGTTCTCGTGACGTTGTCAATTTTCAGCAATAACAAGATGTGCTCGAGAAAGGTGTGAGAGTGGAGTTGGACTGTATCCACACTGTGATGATTGTAGAAAGTTTATCTACTGTATATTTGGTCATCCTATAGTGAAAACCTGTCCTAACGATCTACAGTTTGACATCACACGAGCAGTGTGTAATCATCCTGCAGATTCAAAATGCTGGTAAGTTGATTATGTTTCACTTTTACCTTAGTGCTGACTAGACGTGATCCACCCCCTACATACATATATTCTCAGACGTATTCCACTCCCTTCATAAAGACACTTACAATGTCGACATGCTTGGAGTATGCAGAACTATTCCATTACTGCCAAGTTAATATAGGATGAACAATAAGTAGATGCCCCACGTTTATACTAAATAGAAACTAAGCCTATGATATAATTTTTATTATTATTATACGATTCTATTTTGTACCAAGTTTTATACATCATCGCGTTTCGTGAAATACATACTGTCTGTGTTGATTTTTTCAGGAATTCGTCGAACCTTGTGGATAGAAATGGACTAACTGGATATCGACCGGGCGGCAGATATAATCAGGATTCGCTGAAAGCGCCACCAAACGCTCGACTACCACAAGAAGAGTCAGGTAAACTACAACACAATTATGGATTGCCTATGAATTCTGGTGACATCTTAGTCAAACCAAAGATAAACGAACCAAGCAAAAACATCTTAATACCACAGCGTCCAAATGGCGACGTACCTATGGAACATGTTTCTATGCGAACGGATGATCCGCCCCTAGGTTTCGATCAAGAAGGCCACGAATTTAGGAGCCAAGATGTTGATGCACGCGCAAATGGAATAGATATTCCTCAATCCCCAAATGGGGATGTGTCTGCCGTGCCCGTGTCTTTGCGAACCGACGATCCACCGCTAGGTTTCGATCAAGACGGACACGAAGTTAGGCGCCAAAATTTTGATGCACCTGAAAATGGAATAGATATCCCCCAAATCCCAAACGGGGATGTATCAGCCGTGCCCGTGTCTTTGCGAACCGACGATCCACCGCTAGGTTTCGATCAAGACGGACACGAAGTTAGGCGCCAAAATGTTGATGCACCTGAAAATGGAATAGATATCCCTCAAATCCCAAACGGGGATGTATCAGCCGTGCCCGTGTCTATGCGAACCGACGATCCACCGCTAGGTTTCGATCAAGACGGACACGAAGTTAGGCGCCAAAATGTTGATGCACCTGCAAATGGAATAGATATCCCCCAACTCCCAAATGGGGATGTGTCTGCCGTGCCCGTGTCTTTGCGAACCGACGATCCACCGCTAGGTTTCGATCAAGACGGACACGAAGTTAGTCGCCAAAATTTTGATGCACCTGCAAATAGAATAGATATCCCCCAACTCCAAAATGGGGATGAGTCTGTCGTGCCCGTATCTATGCGAACAGACGATCCACCCAGCGGTTATGATGAAAATGGATACGAGGTAAGGAACAGGGTTGCGGAATCGTTTACGTCTATCAGTGAGAATAATCAACGACAACGTCCAAATGGCGATGTCTCTGTTGTTCCCGTTTCTATGAAAACTGACGACCTACCTATGGGCTATGATAATGACGGCCACGAATTAAGATCACACAATGCAGATTCTAGAGACAATAAC